CTACTTTGCAATTATCGTCATCCGGAAGAGAAGCGTATGCGGATTTATGCAAACGCAGTATAAAGCTCCATTTTGGATTGGAAATAAATGTTTCAAAATAGTTCTGTCTGCTATCGCCCATTTCACTGCTGATGCGGCCATGGTGAATCAAGATGCTTTATCAGGTGGAATGGAAGAATATTTGAAGAGAAAATGCTTTTGAAATTTGCTTCCAGGCATATTTTCACCCCTGACGCCTGCTCACCGCGAGCCGCCATCTTACTCCCAGCGCCCTTACTGATGGAGAACAGGACGCCCCAGCCTGTCCCGTGGCCTGGCCCCTGGCCCCTCCCCCAGCAACTCCATGGGGAGCGAGCCCCGTCCCTGCCGTCCGTCCCTCCGTCCGGTGAGGTTCCGGGGAGGCTGCAGTTCTGGATGGAGCAGGCGTGGGACACCCCGTCGGTGTCACCCCACGGCCATGGCCCAGGGCGGGCACACAGCCCCCAGCCCGTGGGGCAGCTTCCTGAGGACGGCGCACCGACACTCCGCAAGGTCGTTCTCTTCCTTGGCCTCGAGCTGTACAGACAGAAGCGGGGGTCTCCACAGCCGCACCCCGTTTCCTCCAGCTGCAGGAGGGAAGCCCTGGCGACAGGGAGGAGGGAGCCGGCCCGGGGCGCGTCCAGGAGCCACTGGTGCTGGGCCACCCGGGAGCCGCTGCGCGACGGGCGCCCGGGCACCGGGCAACACAAGGCCTTCGCCTGGGTTTTGCTTAAACCAAGAGAGTTCCTTCCTCCTGCCCTTGAAAGCCCCGATTCACACGCAGCCTCGGTGCCACATTCAACTCAGGCCGTGGGTCTGCCGCAGGCTTTCTTTTCGGATCTGCTGCCGCTCTGTCTCTTCTAGGGCTCGGGTCACCCGGTGAAATTCTTGTGTAAATCGATAAGCAGCCGATCATACAAAACCAGTCCTCCCCGAACTCATCTCCAGCTTGTTTTCAGAAATGTCCTTGGCTGCTCCTGCTGCCGATTCCTCTCCGTCAGAAGCAGGCTCACTGGTCTGTGTGAGGACGGCCTTCCCACATCTCTCCAGTCTTTCCTGCTCCCTGTGGCTTTCCTTCCTCTTCCCACGTCTGGCGTGGTTTTCCATCATTTGGGGGTTTTGACGTTCCAGTGAGTGGAACCCTGTTCCCTTCTTACATGTGTTCTGTCTGTCATGTAGGAAAGCTGGTGGTGTTTGTGTGTGTTTTATAACCAACCAGACAGGTTTCCAGCCCAACCACGACCAGGCAGACGGGCACCGGGTGCCGCGTGCCCACTGGACGGACGGCCACGCTTCATCAGGCGATGGGCGGGTCTGCACGGCCTCGTCCGCTAGAGGAGGACGCTACCAGACAAATGTCACGTAGGCTTGTCTCAGTCAAGTCACTGTCACCAGCCTCTGTTCTGCTTTCGCCAGGAAAAGGAACATGGTGGATTCTTCCTTCCGTGGCGACGGTGAGGGCTAAAATAAAAGCGACAACTCAGAGAACGTGGCCCCGTCTCCAGCTCCCACAAACAAGCCACGAAGTTCATGGTGACAACAAAAAGGACGAAAGCCAAACAGCAGACCAGCACCTCCATGTTAATCAATGCCCCCCCCTCCTGGTTCCAAACCGGATAAGCTTTCCTCACAAACAACGAAGCAGAAATCACGCCTGACGCTTCCACGGGGCAGCCACGCTGACCACAGAAAGACAGAGCACTTAGAGCATGGATTACACAACCCCCGGCCGCACATGTATGTTGCGTAAGCCTCAGACCAGACCCATTTAGTAGTAAATGCCCAGCGCACCTGCCACTACCTTTCCGTCCGCGTGCGCTGCGTGGAGGAGCCTCTGCTGACCCCACGCGGGCACCTGGCCCGGCTGTCTTTCTAACGGACTCCCACGCAGGCAGCCCTGCTCACTCACCGACCGCTGCCAGCTCCACGCATTCAGCCCCGGCCCTGAGACCAGGGAAAGCTGTGAAGCCCCGGGGACACACGAGGAGATCTATCAGACAGCCCCCCAAATTAGTACACACACACACACTCACCCGAGAGCACCCCAGCCACCCCTCCTTTTCTGGCTGCGGGGGAAGCCATAGCAGTGAGATGCAGGCTATAGATCAGCACTGAGGCCTGCGCCCAGGGGAGCAGCATGGGAAGGCAGACGGCCGCGCCCCATGGAGGCGCCACAGAAGGGGAAGGAGAAGCCCGTGGGCTCGCTGGCAGGGCGCGGCCATCCAGGGCACCGAAGGCTGCCGGTCAGGTCGCCGGTTACACTGCCGGTCAGGTCGCCGGTTACACTGCCGGTCAGGTCGCCGGTTACACTGCCGGTCAGATTGCCGGTTACACTGCCGGTCAGGTCGCCGGTTACACTGCCGGTCAGGTCGCCGGTTACACTGCCGGTCAGATCGAGGGTTACATTGCCAGTCAGATCGCCGGTTACATTGCCGGTTACACTGCTGGTCAGATCGCGGGTTACACTGCCAGTCAGATCGCTGGTTACACAGCCGGTTACACTGCCGGTCAGATCGCAGGTTACATTGTTGGTCAGATCGCCGGTTACACAGCCGGTTATACTGCCAGTCAGATTGCCGGTTACACAGCCGGTGGGGGGGCACAAGAGGTGGCCAGTCCGTGTTCTGCTTATGCACTGGTGTTCCTCTCTCTCCCTCCTTCCCTCTCTCCATCTCCCTTCCTCTGTCTCTAAAAATCAATAAAAATTACTTTTTTTAAAAGGAAAAACAAGCTCCTCCCCCCCGAAATTTCCTTCTAACTGTTCCAACTGGACATCACAGGAACCAAGTCATGTGAGTCACACATGGAGCCGGGTCTCAGCGAAGTGGCAGACACATCCCCGGCCCATCTGTTCCCTGTGGGGACTTTCACATTGTGCCTTCATTTCAGTATCACCCTGAAAACACACGCAGAAGCCTGCCCTGCTCACCCCGCGCCTCCCTGGGAAGGGGAGCCACCTGGGATTCCCAGCCCACGTGTCTGCTCCCGCCACACCACCGCCAACGGGACCGGGACGGGTCTGCGCTCCGGTAAGGAGCAGTCAGCCCTGACAAGTGCACAGCACACCCGCAAGTTCTGAGGGTTTCCGAGTAGAGGAGGTGGGAAGAGGACTGAGTGGGCACGTGGCGGAGCAAGAAAGGCACTTGGAACACACTCGCGACACTGCGGCCGGCATAGCGACCTCACACTGGCAGCAATTTGACTGGGCTGAGTCATCTGTCCCATAACACTCATTTCCACTTTTATTGGTTTTGTCATTTTATATGAATTTAACTTGTTAGTTCGTTTTGTTTGTACAGTCTTTGAAGATAAGCATGTTATACTTGTGTGCATTCTCACGTTGTGATAAGAACAATTTCAGCGACGGTGCTGAGAGCAGCCAAAGGGGAAGGACAGCCTTGGACCAATGGGGCCAGGGAAACTGGACATCCACACGCAGAGCAATGACCAGGGACCCCTACCTCACACCAGACACAGGGCCCCTACCTCACACCACATACAGGACCCCTACCTCACACCACACACAGGGCCCCTACCTCACACCACACACAAAGTCAACCCAGGACCGAGCAAAGGCCCAACCTTACCAACTAAAGCTGGAAACACGAACAGAAACATGGCGGAGTCGGCAGGGAACCTGGCATTTGGCAGGGCTGGATATGATATTACAAGCACAGGCAACAGCAACAAAAAAGGTAGCTTGGCCTTTGTCAAAACTGAAAACTTTCATGTACTGAAGGACACTATCAATACAGGAAAGGTGAAACCAACCATGGGAGAAAATATCTGCAAATCACATATCTGATAAAGGGTTACTATCCAAAATATCCGAAGAACTCCTACAATTTAACAACAACAACAACCACAACAACAAAATACACCACACAAAAATGGGCAAAAGAACTGACATTTCTCCAAAGAAGATACATGGATAACTAACATGTACAAGAAAAGATAGTCAACCTCGTTAGGCATCAGAGAAATGCCCATCAAAACCATGAGATGCCATTTCAACCCATCAGGACGGCTACGATTTAAAAAAAAAAAGTGCTGGTGAGGATGCAGAAGGGCCAGCGCCCCCTGCCTCGCTGAGGGGATGTCAGATGATGTGGCCACAGCGGAACAGCTGGGCAGCCCTACAAAGGTTAAACAGTGTCACCATCTGACCCAGCAATGCCACCCCGAGGTGCAAACTCAAACTGCAACCAGAATGCAGACACCTCCACACCAACACTCACAGCATTACTCACAACAGCCAGAAGGTGGCTACCACCCAAACTCCATCAACAGGTAACTGCTGCCACCACAAAGCACAGTGAGAGGCGCAGGGGGGTCTGTAAGTCAGTCACAGGAAGACTGTGCAGCCAGGAAATGAACGACTTAGAAAAGCCTGAACAAGGCAACTCGACACTTCGGTCATTTAGCACGTGGAGCAAGCTAACAAGCAAGTTGTTACCCTCTTCGAAAGACTGAAAACAGCCTTACCAGTGTGGCTCAATGGATAGAGCGTTGGCCTGGGGGGGTCAACCTTCAGAGCAATGACCCGGGACCCCTACCTCACACCACACACAGGACCCCTGAAGGGTCCCAGGTTTGATTCTGGTCAAAGGCACATGCCCTGGTGGCGGGCTCAATGACCACTAGGGGGCGTGCAAGAGACAGGTGATCAATGATTCTCTCTCATCATTGATGTTTCTATCCCTCCCTCTCCCTTCCCCTCTGAAATCAATAAAATACACTTTTTTAAAAAAAGCAATATTAAAACACTTATAGACCACATTCTGTTAGGACCCAAAGGGGACCTATGAATCAAGGGTCACCACAATCTAGCCCGACAGTCCCAGTAGCTTCTCACATGTCACCAGGGGGTGAATCTGCACAGTCCGTCCCAGCTCCCCCCCGGGCACTGCTGGCTTCACAGGATGGTCTCCAAGCAGCCACAGGAGGTCACAGAGAAGCCCTTCCGCCATCAACTTCCTCACCAGTGGGCACACGTGACCTGTCCTTCAGCTGCCCTTTGCCGAGGCCCTGCCTCACTGCACAGCAGCAGTCTACACAGCGGCGGGGCCTCCTCCCCCGAAAACACAGCCTCCCACTCGGCCAGCTGTGCACCTCGCCTTGTTGCTGGGCATGTGACTGACCCTCTGGCCAAGGACAAACACCAATGTCCTCACTCAATGTCACCAAGTCCACCGTTACCTCACCTTCAGATAAGGAAGTGATAAGCAGGAGAGTTAAACACCAGCGCAGCAGTGCAGCTCACAGGAGGACGTTATGACTGACACAGTTACACACCCTCCGCACACATAGACACGCACCAACACACCCTCCACACACACACACGCACCAACACACCCTCCGCACACAGACACGCACCAACACACCCTCCGCAGACACGCACCAACACACCCTCCACACACACACACGCACCAACACACCCTCCGCACACAGACACGCACCAACACACCCTCCGCAGACACGCACCAACACACCCTCCACACACACACACGCACCAACACACCCTCCGCACACAGACACGCACCAACACACCCTCCGCAGACACGCACCAACACACCCTCCACACACACACACGCACCAACACACCCTCCGCACACAGACACGCACCAACACACCCTCCGCAGACACGCACCAACACACCCTCCACACACACACACGCACCAACACACCCTCCGCACACAGACACGCACCAACACACCCTCCGCAGACACGCACCAACACACCCTCCACACACACACACGCACCAACACACCCTCCGCACACAGACACGCACCAACACACCCTCCGCAGACACGCACCAACACACCCTCCACACACACACACGCACCAACACACCCTCCGCACACAGACACGCACCAACACACCCTCCGCAGACACGCACCAACACACCCTCCACACACAGACATGCACCAACACACCCTCCGCACACAGGCACGCACCAACACACCCTCCGCACACAGAGACACGCACCAACACACCCTCCACACACACACACACACACACACACACACACACACACACACACACAGATTTCATCTCGAAGCCTCACCTCCAGTGTGATCGTATTTGGAAGTGGGGCCTTTTTGGAGGTGATGGGGTCATGAGCTTTCATGAAGGAGATCCATGCCCTTAGAAAAGAGAGTCCAGAGAGCCCCTGTCCCCTTTCACCATGTGAGGGCACAGGGGGAAAATGGCCT